AGAAGCAGATGCTATTTCAAAAATCCAGGTAAGAAATGCTGATGACTTAGACCAGGGGGCTAATTGTGAAGGAGGAGAGAAGTGATCCTGTCCAGGATATAGTTTGAAGGCAGAGCAGATAGAATTTACCAATAGTTTGGAGGTGGGCAGTGAGATAAAAAGAGGAATTAGGGCTTACATGTATGCTTTTGGCTTGAGAAAAGGGTTGAATACTAGAGCCGTTAACCAAGATGGGGAAGATGAAGTGAGGAGTAAATTTATCAGTTGTATGATGAATTGTATTTTAGCCCTGGTAAATGAGAGGTGCCTATTATTTGTTCCGTAAAGGCACTGAAGAGTCAGTGGGATATGTAAGACCAGTTCAGAGGTCATGTTGGGGCCAGAGATGTGTCTCTTGGAGTCATGAGCAACAGATGGGGTAGATGGGAGTTAATATCATGGTAGACAGAGAAAAGAATACAGTCTTTGTCAGGTTCTCCAAAGGATTAAATGTCTCTAAATAACTATAAACTAGTCAGTCAGAAGTTCAACTCAATAATTACAATAATATAATAGTGTCTCACCGTGATTATTAAAGTGTCCAAAGCCATTGTCCTGGCACTTGGTCATCTTCCAGTGCTGTTTGGCTGTTTGAATGGAACTCGTCGCTGCCCTGACCTCCCTCTTATAAGATCTTGAGGCCAAATTCTTGTACAATCCAGTACAAGATTTTTCTCTGGCAGTAACTTAATGTTATGTTAATTCTCTTACTTGTCCTAAGTTGTACATTGCTCTGTGAGCCAACACAAGATCTGCTCAGCTCAGAGGATTGTTTGAATGTCATTACCTGGACAACGTCTTGTAGTGTAGTGATCAATAGCATGGACCCTGGAACCAGACAGCCTAGGGTCAAATCCTAGCTTTACCGCTCACCAACAGGTAATAGAAGCCATCGCATCTCTCTGTACCTCAGTCTTTTTGTCTAAAAAATGGGGATTGGACTGGTACCTACCTCTTAGAGGTCTGAAAAATGACATGATTTACCAAATGTAAAGCACATGGAACAGAACTGGCATATAAGTGCTCTGTTACTGTTCGCTACTATAATTATACATACTCAGTTGTCCCAAAAATGCATTTTGCACATTGATTGAAACATGAGGGCACACTTCTTGAAGAGTTCTTGGCACTGCAACTGAGATCTTCTGCCTCAAGTAGATGCATAATATTTTGAAGCAGACATCTAGTCAGTTGTCAAACTTCAAAGTGCACATGAATCATCTGCGGATGTTGCTAAAATGCAGTTTCCGATTCAGGAGGTCTGGAGTGGGTCTCAAGAATCTGTGGTTCTAACATGCTGGTCCAGGACAAGCATAAGTAGTAATGCTCGAAAGTGTGTGTGGCATCCCCATTCAGTGCTCTTTGCAGTGGTCAGACAGTTCTCTGGGATGAATTAGAGTTGCTTACTTCCCAAGTCTGACTTTCCCTTGGGAGACTCTTGGCTGCGAGTCAAGTACTTTTATGGACACTGGAAAACTTGGCAACATCATCATAAGAATCTCAGTTGATAAGAAACACCAGTGTAAACAGAATCATTCACGTGGTCTAACCTTGGAATCTTCAGCCTCTTACAAAGGCACCAAGAGTCATTTGTGGGATGTACTAGCTAGGATATAGCTTCAGTTTTGTGTAAGAAAGTTTCAAACTAACTGTGGCTTAAACAAGATAGAAATAAACTTATTTTTCTCTTATGGAAAATCAAGCTAGTAAGGAGGCTCCATTTTCCTTGAAGATCATGTGGAAAAGGGACGGGGAGGGGAGTCACAGAGCTGATTAAAACCTGTGACTGTTTCTCTTTTTACTTTCAGAGAGGGGATCCTGTGGCAGCCCCGTCTGTTCTGGGTGAGATTTCACATACACATTTCAGGATACACATTATACTCAACTAGCAAAGCAACTTGCTGAAGTTCCCAAGTATTTTTAAAGAAGCTTGGACTTTGTTTTTCTTTGACTTCTAAAAGTGTAACTTGAACACAAGTGAATACTTTTAAAGCAGGAATAAATGATATTCTTCTCCCAGGTGTACAGTGTAGGGTGGGTGGCATGGGTGGGCAGTGTGGGGTGAGTAGGGTTTGAGGAAGGGACAAGGAAAGGAGGACATTGGGTGCTGGGGATCCATGAAATGATGGAGGAAGGAGCCCTTTCTCTCTGGTTCTCCGGGTCCAAGCCCTCGGTCCAAGTAGAAGGTGGCATGCTTAGTTGCTTTTTTCTTCTTCTGACCCTCTATATGCCTAAGAATCTCCTGAGGCAATGGGTCCCACCTTGGTAGTTTCTCTAAACAGTGTTCTGAAGCTCCAGTCCCCAGATGCACTTAATCTGTCCTCCTACTCTACTGTGGTTTGCTCAGTGGAAGACGTCTTGGACAGATAGCAAGAACACCTGCTTTCAGGTCTGGCTTGGGCACATACTATGTACTTTTAGCCAAATCACTTCATTTCTCTTGGCTTCAGTTTTCTCATCTCTGAAAGGAAGCAACTGGAGTCAATGTCGACAGTCACTTCACACTCATTACATTTTCTCCCCAACCCTTCCCAAACTAAAACCTCTGTGATCTCCTGATTTATAAGCCGGTATGCAGATTCACTTTTAAATAATCTGGTAATACATCCATGGAAATGTGATTATGTATACATTGTTATGTAGATCTTGAACCCCAAGTCAGTAGAAAGATACCAAAACCAAAATCATTACCAAAACCTAAATGGAGGTGGGACCTGGGAGCTCACAATGATAAAAATTGAGTAATGGAGTATTGTTGTCATTGTCATATTCCACTTGGAGTATACTGAATGTGGTGATAATAGACCTGCGTGGTGTTCAGAATTTCCACCTAAGAGAGAATGTTTAGCTTTAATTTGTCATGATTTTCTGTGAGGGTAGCAGGTAGGCTGAAAATTTAGAAAAGTTGGTTTTTCGCTTAATTATGAGAAATATAATATGGTGCAATAATGGAAATAATGTTACTGTGAACATAATTTGGAATTTTGAGTTCTTGTTTGTTAAGTAATAGGTCTGATTTTGATGATTTCTCCGCAGGAGGCGTAAAAAGAGGTAATTTTCCCACCATTTGGTGAATCTTTGGAGACACACATTCTGTCGTGTTTGGCAGCAGAGCTGGTTGAATTGCATTAAGATCAGACCCTCTGTGAGGCGGACTATTCTTGATCCTCACTTGGGGCACCATAGGGGAAAGTGGGCATCTCACGGAACTATGAGGGCCTTCAAGTAGGAATCCATAGGGCCTCCTTTCTGGAACAGTGGTTTCCAAAGATCACCCAACTTTTTTTTTTTTTTAATTAGGAAGCATTACCAATAAAAATTTCCCAACTATTTCCTCCTCCTGGAAAAGTACTGTTAAAATTTGAAGAAGTGGCTTCACTTGCCTACACCAGGAGTCAATTACCTTTTTAGTAGTAGAAGTGGAGTCACCACCCAAACAGAGGGTAAGGGTAGGTAGCCATTGCCACGGTGGCCTTTTTGTAAGTAGCTGGACCCTCGTGGGACAATAGCCCAGGGTGCCCGCCTGCCCTGGTGAGCCCACTGCCATCAGGCCCTGGGATAGGTCTTGGATAAAGAGAACCACACTGCTTTCACCAGCTGCATTCCCATGCAGATTTCTTTCCTCTGTTTTTGTTTCAGTTTCACTTGTTGGGACAAAGAACGGAAGGTGCAGATGCAGCTTTCAGCAATCAGACAGACTTATTTATTAGGTTAAGACTATGGGTGACGTCTACCCTGGAAACTGGAAAAATACAAGGGAAATGGAAGGTGTGAGCCTGGATAAATTTGCAGTCCATTCGTGAGACAAGCCACATGTATATAGGAAAATGCAAACACAAACAGAGGCAAATACAAACAGGTGCAATCCATCTAGCTGCACTGACCACAGTGACGCAGCATTCAGGAGACCCTGGGGAGAGCAGCACATAGGAAAGCTGAGTGGGGAGAGGGTGAATGGTGACATGATGTGAAAAGGGATGTCAGTTGAAGCTAACTGAAAGTAGGTTTGAGGGGTTTAAACTGGACGTTGCGATGAGAGCTTGAGGGGGCATGAGGCTGAGACAGTGGCTGATAAAGTGGTGATATCTCTGAAGGATGATTCCTGGAAATGCCTTTGAAATGGAGAGATTGTAGATCCAAAGGAAGAAGAGAACTTGAAACTTGTGGAGTCCACAAAGTGAGGTTGGAATGACCCCCAGGCAAGAGAGAAGCAAGAGGGTGCAGAGAGGGAAACAGAGCCTGAGGCATGGCTGTGCACATAAACTTTGAGTTTTGTTAAAATTCTCTCCTTCATCACACCTCTGTCTGACCCCCTTCCCCTGCTCCTTTCAGCTCTTCTCTACTCCTCTTTGCCAATTGTTCAGATCTCACAGAAGTAGGGCCAGTCCCCTCTACTCTGTAGGACATGACTTTGAAAATTTGAGATATAGGCTCTAAAACTCTAGGGGCAGGCCAGGTGTCCATCACTGGCCTGGGTTCACCTCACTTTCCTCCGTCATGGTGTCCCCTCCAAGTTCCTTTATGGGATTTCAGCCTTGGATCTTCCCTTTCCAGAAACGTTTGGGTTTTCTGTTTGCCTAAAACCCCTTCCTCTACATACTCCTATGCTAGACATCAAGATGTTTCTGTCATGACCACATGCCAACCTAACCCCATCTTGGTCTCTGAGCTGTCCTTTGAGTTTTCTTCAAGTCCCTTTCTATAGGATTTAGCCTCAAGGGATAGGAGAACACCAGAAGCAGTTTAAGTCACCCCCGTGCCCCCTGAATTTTGGTACAGAAACAGATTAGGAAGGTCCTATACCCACACTCTCTAGCAGCAGCCACACAACCTTCCCAAGACTAATTAATCCCTACCCAACAGGAAGAAACAGGGGCTGGGTGAAGCTGGCAGCTGAAGCCTCAGGGAGTGATGGAGGAGAGGTGTTTGAGCAAAGGAAAACAGTTAAGTTGGGATATTCCTTAAGGTGTCCCTTGGCTGGGCTGGGTAGGGATTAGTTTAGAATGGAGGGTATCTGTATCCCCAGAGGCAGAGTCCTCCCCCATGGGGGACAATGGGATCTCCTTAGAAAGGTCCTTGGCATCAGCAACTACTAGGACTCCCTCAGGCCCATCAGTGATTGGGCAGATGGTCAGGGGCTTTTTACCACTGGACCACAGGCAGAAGAAGGGCCGGAGGGGGCCAGAGAAAGAGGTGCTGAGGAAAGTATAGATATGGGATCCATCAGTCATGTTGTAGAAGGAGACGTCTCCTGATTCATAGTCCAGGAAAATCCCAACCCGGTGAGGGGGTCCTGCCAGTGGAAGAGGGGTCCGGAGTGGGGTGAGGGCCCAGTACCCATTTCCGTACAACTCCACAGCCCAGAACCCATTCTCAGGAGTCATGGGGTCAAATCCTTTCTTAACCACATCCTCCCTACACACCCCAATTGCCCAGTCAGTCCTGTCTCCCACCTCCACCTCCCAGTAATGTCTTCCTGAGCTGAAGGCCTCACGACCCAACACGCAAGGCCAGGAGTCAAATCTCTCTGGTTTCTCAGGCAGTTTCTGACGTGAATCTTCCAGTCGGACAGATTTTGAATCCTCGTACAGAAAGAGGTGGGGGTGGGCGGTGTCTGGATCCAGAGTCACATCAACTAGAGACAGAAAGAGTGAGTCGGAGCATCAGTGAATGTTAGAGGTAACTAGACCTATCTTTTCTTCTCCAAAGAAATAGAGCCCTGTTCTAGGAGTTGAAAGGTCTCCTCAGGAGGAGAGCTGTTTGGCCTGCTCAGCTGTCTCTATTCTGCTTGTCCATCCACAGCCACAGGGTGATGTATGAGCCAAATGTCCCCAATGCCTAAGAGTACCCTGTCAGAAGAGGCTTGTCTCTAGCCATCTTCCAAGGGCCCTCTATGTGCCCCAAGGAAAATGTTGAGGCCATTTGCCATCATCTTTCCTCTCTCTATCTTCACCACTGAAATGTGTTAGTGTTTTCATTTTCAAGTATTGTAGGACTTTGCATCCCTGGGGGATAGAGCCTCAGAGGCCTTAAGAAGTTCAGAACCACTGACCTGCATGCAATGTAGCCTTTTTCCATTCTGCAATGAAATAGAGAGAAAGAGTCATTGACAGGTTTTATAATAAGAGAGAGAAAACCTTGTGGGTGAAATATGACAAAAAGAGAGAACTTACTGAGTTCTTCCAGGAGTTTCTCTGGAAAACAAACAGAAATACCTTAATGACCTATTAGAGCGGACATGAGGGAGGGGACAAAATAGTGTGAGAAACACACAAGGGAGTAATTGTTTAATTCATGACTATCCGATTATTGAAACACTATCAATAAATGAAGAACAAGGATTGTGTTTTGTTTTCTAAGAAATATGCAAGAAGTTCCTACTGGCTTGAGACGAAGTCTTTAATCATTACTGGGAAACCTAGTTAAAAGTGAGGATAGAGTCTGAGGGTCAGTACTGAGGAAACATCAGGTCTAATATCTCGATTAGACTTGGTTTTGACTCTTCCTGCACCCCAAACCTCTGTTCTTCTTCATATTGGGATCAGTGACCTCAGGAGCCTTATAATCCCCTCTGGCTTTCAGAATTCTAGAATCAAATATCTTCCCATTGGCAGTCATCCTAAAGGACTTGGATCCAACTATACTCGGAAGCACTCCTGACAAGTAGCCTGGGATTCTACGACTTACCTTTAGAGCTGAATTCATCCTTCCTCTGTCTGGATCTTTCCTTGTATAGTCTCCAAGTAAAAAATATGGACCCAGTTGTGAGAAGTCCTAGGACTATCAAGATGACAGCCACAGCCACCATCCAGAGAGTCAGCCTTGGGTAGAAGGGAGCTAAAACAAAATCCCCAAGAAGAACATTTGCTGAGAAACTCTGAGCAAGTCCAGCTCTTCTCCTTATTCCAAAGGGGGTTAGAAGAGAGGATGACCTGGACCTCTCCCATTCTTCCCATGGTAAAAATAGTCCCTCCAATGCCACTCTAAGCTTTTCAGAAAAATTTTGATCTTAGGTAAATAGAGCAGAGAAAGAGAGGAATGAAGATGCATAAGAGTCATTTTGGGACAGGAACTATGAAATAAAGAATATAATAGACCAATTCATGTTATTATGGAAATTCCTCCTTAACTATCAATGCAGGATGGGAGCCAAGGGGATGAGGGAGGTAAATAAGGAAGAGGAAATGTTATCTCTGTGTGCAACAGAATGGGACTCAATGACCAAAGAATAAGGAAAGGTTCCCACCTGAACCAGAGGTAGTGTCTAGGGAATAACGAGAACATTTGCTTTCCTGAGGACCCTGGAAACTTAGAGCTGTAGCATGGAATGAGGAGGAGAGAGGAGGGCAAGGGTGGAAATAGGAGAACTAACTTAGTTTTCTTTTTACTCAAAGAGAGAAGGCTTTGGATCAGGAAGGCCCCCAGGGACAATGCTTCTCTATCTAAGATATATATCCTACATGGAAAATCTGGAATTTCTATGAGATCTAGGCAGAGTTTATGCCTTCAGTATCTTTACTCTTTTAGTGAAGTTGGTGCGGCTCCCTCAAGTCAGTGGGCAGGAGCTTAGGTGAGGAAAGTAGACAACTCTGCCAGGAGGTCATGGCTGCGCAGGTATCCCAGGTGATGTGGCCCTGAAGCTGTGTCAAATAGGAACCCAGCATTGGTTTTACTGACCTGGTATGGAAATCTCTACTTCCTTCTCCTGGCCAAGAAGGAGGTTCTGGATACAGCAGGACACATTCTTCATGGAGGTGTCCCTGATGACCACTGAAGCTACCACAGTGAACAAGCCTTCTTCATCAAGATTCCTGGACTCTGACATGGATGCAAACGTCTCTCCCTTGGGAGTTCTCCACTGCACCTGGGGCTCTGGGTACCATCCCACTGAGGTGCACTCCAGCCGGATCTCTCCACTGTCTTGAACTTCCATATAGATGTAAGGATCAGAGCCCAGAGCTATTGAAAGAGAAGGTGGCCTTACTCCTTTAGTGGACACACTTCTGGGAATCTTATAATGATAGGGCCACATAGTTTGAGAAAGAGAAGCACAAGGGGACTGGGAATGAGGGGAACTCATCTCTGTATTTCATTATACAAGGAAATTGAGGTATCAATAAAAAGAATTTCATACACCTTATCAGGGAGGGATGCCATGTTGGGATTCAGAGTTTGAAATGTGGGCAGGAGTTTGATGGGCAGACATGGGAGTGCTTGTCCAGTCAACAGGAACAGCAAGACCAATGGCTATGAGGTGCGTTAGTGGTCTAGGCTGGGAGCTCCAGAGGTGGAGAGAGCTCTGTGGTTGGAAGTGTTATAAGAAGGCTTTAGGGAGGAGCAGAACTAAGATTGGGTATTTAAAGAAGGAGTATCTTTGAGGAGAAAGGGGGTTGGAGGTTCTTTGCACTGAGATCATAGCTGACAATTTAAATTTCCTTTACCTGTGATACTGATTCAGGAATTAAATGATTGCAACCTCATCTTCCCTCACACAAATATGTCTTAACATAAATCAACATAAGGCTGTTCTTCCCGTCTGTTTAGCCTAATTATTTTCTTACAATTCTACAAAGTATGGAAAAACACATATCTGCAGAGTAGAGTCCTTAAACACATGTCCACAACCATTGACTTAAATCCATATTCCACGTTTGTGTGTATATGTCAGAATGTGTATTCTTTTCATGAAAAGGGCTCCCACTTTCAGCAGATTCTCAAAGGTGTCTATCACTCATAAGAGGTAACAATGACAGTTTTATGCTATCAAATCTCTAGGGTTTTATTGTCAACCTTTAAGATACTTCCCTAAAAATAAAATGTGATTTATGCATGATGCTGTCACAGGGGGCACCCTGTTGTAGGCAGGGACCCAGATTTCTCCCAAGTATTTTTCAGACTTTATCTTCATTTGAATATATACTCTAAAGGCAATATATTCATATTACATTATACATTTTAGAGAGTCTTAGGTACAGTAATAATATCTTACAAGAATATAATGCTTTTAGAATTGAAAAAGCAGTTTCTTGTATATCATCTAATTTTATTTCATTCTTGCAAAGTCTTATTTGACAGGTGCTGCCCCAGTGTTACAGCAGGAAACATGGCTCAGAAAGAGACTTGCTTGATGCCATTCACTAGTCAGTGGGAAAGTCAGACCTCTACACATACTTTCCTCCTGAATGCTTACCAGTTTCCTTATTGTTTCACTCTGAATTTTGGCTTGAAGCAAAAACAGAAACAAAAACAAAACCTTTTCTAGGTGGATCAAGAATGTTAAAAAGCAGCCATGCTCTATCTTAGGAAATCAGTCCTTGGGTACTAATCCATAAACCACACCCACATAATCCATAATCCACATCCACAAGGCTGTGGATGCTCACCACAGCCTGACTGTAATGGTGAAAAACAGACACAATTTAAGTGTTCAATTCTGAGACATGATCAAGTAAATTATGATGTATGGTGTACTAATAAAAAAGAATGTCATACAGCCATTACATCTTACATTTATTTAATTAATAGCATAAGGAAATGCTTATCCTATAATTGAGAGGAAAAAGCAGGACATAAATGAAATAAAGCTCTACAAGAAAGAATTCGCTGCTCTCTCTCCACTCTCAACTCAAACCTCCTTCCTACTCAGCTCCCATTCTAGGCCTGCCAACATCTTCCAATCTAAAAGCGATTTGGGGGATGAATCTGATGGCTTCCAAAGTAGCAGATCCATAGGAAAATATGTATCGCATGGGAGTCACCAGATAAAGTAAAAACCAGCCTACTCACCAGCCACCTTCAGTTGCACAATGGCCTCCTCGTAGCTTTCTTCCTGCCTGAAAAAGCATCGGTACTCCCCGTCGTCAGAGGCCTTGACCGGGTGTATCTTCACAGCGACGCGCCCCGCGGTGATGTTGGTCTCCACCAGCGTCGCTCGCCCCCGGTACTCGGCCATCTGCTCTCCCTCCTGCTCCCGCCCGTCCCGCTGCACGAACACCGCGGGCGAGACCTTCTTCCGGAACCACCGCAGCTCCATGTGCTCAGCACTCACGTTTGGGGACAGGTGACAGGGCAGCTCAGCGTCTTCCCCCACTATGGCCAAGATGGGCTCCGGAGGTCCAATCACCTCAAGGTGAGCTGCCGAAAAACCAGGAGGGTCACACAGGGTGTGGAGATGGGAGTTGAGGACTGACACAGACCAGGCTCCCGCCAATGCCAGAGTCTCTCCATTTCTCTTATTCCTACAACAGCCTGAAGGAGTCCATCTGGAGACTCCAAATGCGATTGTTTACATTTACTGAGAAATTTCAACCCTGGAGGTCAGAGAGGGAGAGAGACATAGAGGGAACACCTACCTGAATCCAGTGTGGGCAGCCAGAGCAGAATGAGGGTGAGCAGACATGTGGGTGGGAAGGAGTTTCGGCAAACTGCCATCTCCAACCTTTCCGGGTCAGCAAGATACTGGTGTCCTGGAGTCGGTCAGGAGCTTCAACCTAGGGGATGAGTGGACAGGAGATAACTGTGGGTTCTCTAGACACTGTCTCCCCAGTCCTCCCAACAGCTCTTTCCATCTTGGAATGCTCTAGTCATTTGCACCTGAAGCCTTCTCTCTGCTTCCTCTCCAGTGTAGACTTGCAGTCCATGCTGCCAACAGCACCCACCCACCCACCACCCTAAGTTTGGTTAAGCATGTATAAAACAACAAAATGGGCCCTAAAACCCCCAAAGAGACTTAGGAAAGGGGAATTTGTGAGGAAGAGTATCCATTAATGGGTTGCATATAAATGAACAGATCTTGGAACCACTGCCCTAAAAATCTCTTCTTTCAAATACGATAATTTGGTATTTGCTTTTAGCAATGACAACAAAGATAAAGCCATGGAGGCAGAGACAGAGACCAGAGGAATAAACTGGAGAAAAAAAGAGGAAAAGGTGGGAGGAGATAGAACAAGAAAGGGGAGCTGAAGAGAGTTAAAGGGCTTGAAGAGTGGAGAGCCTGGTACTAGACAGGAAGGAGCCAGAGGGAGAGAAGATGCCCCCCTGGCTGCTGGCTCTCTCAGGAGCTAAGGGTAGTTGCAGACACTGACCTCGGATCTTGGAGGAGAAGGCACGAACGAGCCACTGCTGCCACGTGAGAAAGCTGGTTGTGGCCCAGGGAGAAAAGCTAAAGGCCAGCAGGAGAAGGAAGGGGGAAGTGCTCTCAGGAAAACCTGCCTCCAGGTCCCTGATGTATTTACTTTGGAAAAAAAAAAGTTTTCCGGAGAGGTAAAGGGTCTGTGGACTTGTGGTCTTCAGCTCAGAGATCAGGATATACACTGATGAGCTGGACTGAATACAGGGGCATAGAGTGAATAAGAATGTCAAAAAAAAAACGCTGAAATGAGACATAAGACCTTGAGCCAGTTCATTCAGTTCTCAGAGACTCAGTTCTTTTATCTCTAAAATGGGAATATTGTTACTAGTAACTTCTTTGGAGAGATGTTGGGAGGATTAAATGAAATTAAGCATGTAAAGTGCTTAATGTATAGTAGGGACTTAGAAGAGGGTAAATTGTTATTCTATTATTATTTATGTGGGTGGGAAAAATTAAAGGAAGGCTGGGAATGCACGTGTGTGATTCAGTTTTCAGGGCCCCAAAGTTGCCTCCCTGCCAAAGTTACCTCTCTGAAAGCAGTTCAGGAAGACTGCAATTCCTTATTTTGGGCTAAACCTCTTATTGTTATGGAAAAATAAAAAAATAAGGAAAAATATTTTTTAAAAGTAGAAATCATCCATAATGTCACCAACTAATGATAGCCTCTATTCACATTCTGACAGAATTGATGAGGCTTTTCCGTAATTAGAAACATTGTTAATAGCTACATAATATCATATTGAAGGTGCCTGTAATTCTCAAGATCGTGGGACATGTTGGATTTTTTGCCTATTATAAATAGCGTATTTTATACATAAGTCTTTGTCCACATCTTTGATAACTTCCTGATAAACTTTCTGATAAATTCCCAGAAATATAGTCATCAGGCCAAAGGGTATGAGCATATTGCCAAAGTTCCTTCCTGAAATGTTAAACCTATCACACCATCAACAGAAATCTCCTTCTCACCTAATTCCTGCCAGCATTGAGGGTTATTATTTCTCATCATCACTAATGAGATGGGTGAAACTGATCAAATTGTTATTTTGCTAAGCATTTATATGATAGTGAGGCTTAGCATTTTTCATATTATCCACTTAATACATCCTGGAAGTGAGCTTTTCAGGCCAATTGCCGCCCCCCCCCCCTTTCTCTAGACAGATCCTGTTGTTGTTTCTTATCAATCTGTGTGAACCTTTTAGAAATTAAAGAAGTCCACCTTGTATTATATTTGTGGTCCAAATCCATCACCGCCCCAGTTTGTACTTTGCGTTTTAACTGGGACTCTGATTAAGATAAACAGAAGATAATTCCTCCAGTTGACCCACCAGACTGCCAGGGGAATGACTTTTCCCAAATACAAATCTGACCCTTTGTTTAAAGGATCACTTTTTGCTTAAAAATCCCTACATGTCTCCTTAGTGACCCCAGCACCAAGTTCAGGCACCTTAGTCTGGTCAAGAACATGCTGTAGGATCCAGTGCTCTCCCTGCTTCTGTCCTCTCAACTTCTTCCCCCTCCCCTCCAATGGCCTGGCCACCCACGGGCAGAATTTGGGAAGAGATGTGGTTGCCTCAGCCCACACACCCTTTCAGGCTTTCAGGGCGTAGTGCTTGTCTCCCCTCTCCCTAGAGCATTCTGCTGCTTCTTGTCTGCTTGACAAACTCCTGTTCTCCCCTCAAAAGCTCACTGAAGGGCAACCTCTTCCAGAAGCAGCAGATGCAACCTCACTTCTAGGGCTTCTCCTTCATTCGCTTATGGCCCCTCACTGAGACCTCGTCCAAGTGCCCTGACCAGAGGGGCTGTAGGAAGGAGCCTCCCAGCCCTGCCCAACCCATGTGAGAAACACCTTTGAAGTCTTGGGTCTTATCTATAAATTTAAAGTAAATTAAAGCATTTTACTTCATTATATATGATATTTGTTTAAATATGACTCTGGATAGCTATGCCCCCCCTCCAAGTGAAACCGACTCTTCAGGATGTAGGCCAGGTTTATCCTGTGACACAGACAACTTCCCGGTCCCTCTCTGCTGGAGCACATCTGACCTGAGTCCTACTCTGAGAAGCAAAAGTGTCTATTTTTGTCTTTTGTTTCCAAGTCTATCTTCCTCTCCTAAACTGAGTTCTTTGAGTTTGTACTCTTGGACTTCTCATCAGCATTTAGACGGAAACAGAATTTTCCGCTTAAATCAAACCAACCGGTTCTTGGCCTTCCTAGTTTGAAATGCTCCTGCCTCGTTCTCAACTCCCCTTTGAGTCTGCCTTTCGAAAATACAGCCTATAATTGGTTTCCTCTCCTCAATCCGCTGTGATTAGACTTCTGTTCCCTGCTCTACTTTGTCAAGAAAAATCGCATAGGAAATTTTTTTGGGAAAAAAGGGAGTTGTTACTTGCACCCAAGGAAGCTAGACTGAAAAGAAAGGGACCAGGAAATAGAGAGCAAATGGTATTTAGAACTCAAGCTATTACGTGGCAGCCACAGTTTTGATTGGGTAAAATCTGAGTCATTTTGACAGAAACCAACAGTCTTGGACAATCAAAGGCAGGATGTCTGAATTTTCCAGGCTCAGTCAGGGAACAGAGACTCTAGGTGCCCTGCCTCTCATGGCTCCCATTGTTTGTGAGATGCCTCTGTGATGTGGGGCTGCCATGAGGAAGTTCTTGCTACTCCCGGGCCCGCTGGAGAATAGAAACACAAATGTTTTCCTCTTAGACATGAAAACCATTTAGGCTGAGGAATGTGATGTGCTCCATATGAGAGCAAATCTAATGACAAAATGTCAGGGCTTCCCCCTCCCTCTTTTTTCACCACACTGGGTTCAAATTTCCCAATACTGTAGACCAGTCAAATCCAATGGTTACTCTCATCCTTATTTTACTTGACCTTCATCAGCATTTTACCGAAGCAACCACTTCTCCCTTTCTTTTCAAAATTAGTTTTTATTCTGTCAAAGCAATCTGTACAAAGAGTTTTTTTAAAAAAATCCAAATAGGGGCCGGCCCCGTGGCTTAGCGGTTAAGTGTGTGCACTCCACTGCTGGCGGCCCAGGTTCAGATCCCGGGCGTGCACCTTCGCACCGCTTCTCTGGCCATGCTGAGGCCACGTCCCACATACAGCAACTAGAAGGATGTGCAGCTATGACATACAACTATCTACTGGGGCTTTGGGGGAAAAAATAAATAAATAAATAAATAAATAAATAATCCAAACAATATAAAAAGCTTTTCAGAAAAACATCAGTCCCTCTTCCACCCTATCATTCCCCAGAAACAGACTCTTCAAGTGCTTGGCTGTTTTATCCGGTATTTATCTAGATATTTCTCAAGACAATAACATAATTATGTTGCTATTTCTTGATATATCCACTTTTAGATATTACTTTTCCATGCCTTATCACTTAAATCAATGATGATTTAATTCTTGTAATACTTAATTTTATATGTCAACTTGATTGGGCTAAGGGATGGTGAGTTCACTGGTAAAACATTATTTCTGGGTGTGTCTGTAAGGATGTTTCTGGAAGAGATTAGCATTTGAGTAGGTAGATTGAATAAAGAAGATTGCCCTCACCAATCCGGGTGGGCATCATCCAATCATTGAGGGCCTGGCCTGAATAGAACAAAAGGGTGGAGGAAGGTCAAATTTGCTCTCTGCTTGAGCTGGGATATCCATCTTTTCCTGCTTTCAGAAGTGGTGGCCTTGGTTCTCAGGCCTTCCAGTTGGGACTGGACCTGCAGCACCAATTTTCCTGGGCCTCCAGCTTTCAGAGAGCAGATCATGGGACTTCTCTGCCTCCATAATCACACAAGCCAATCCCTCATAATAAGTCTCTTTCTGTACATATCTTATTTGTATACATCTGCTTATATGTATATATCTGTTTCTCTGGAGAACCCTATACTATGGTTATGTAGCTATAATTTTATGGAGCCAGGTATCATGTACAATTACATTTATTTTTCTGTTCAACTTCCTGTGTTTTACAGGGGAAGGAAAGAGATTGTTCATCTAATTAACTTTTTTCCATTTTCTGTGTTCCCATTACAAGTTTTCCCCATCCCTCTAGCAGCCTCTAAGTACAATTTCCATGGTCAAACATATCAGATAATTTATTAGTGCTATTATACCTCCTCCCTACCCCATCCCTCCCAGAGCAGCACTTCTCTAACTTAAGTGAGCATCTGCTCCATTGGAGGTTCTTATTAAAAACCAGATTCTGATTTAGTAGGTCTGGAGTGGGACCAGAATTCTCCCTGGTGGCTGCTCCTGGTCCACAAGAGCTTTATCCTGATCCTTATT